CAATTTTTTCAGTATGTGTCGGCTGACTTCATACAGCCTGATGTTGTATCTCTATACAAAAGTATGCACGCTAACATACGTGCAAAAAAAAAAAACTCCAAAAAATACCCTATTTGCCGCAACAGACAAGGTCAACAAGTTGTTAATGTAAATCAGTACCCAGAGCAAAACCCACTATCGCTCTCCCTTCAACTTTCTGAATGGAAGAGGTATGCAAATTCACCAGCCCAGCTAGCAGATCCCTTCAGACTGCCATTTGCCTCTGCTTCCAAACAAGACAAGCACAAGCAGCAACACTGGACGACCCAGCACAAACATGTAAAATGCAGGAGTTCGTGGCCGTGCAGCTCCCGTGCACGGCAGAGTCCCACCACGGATGGACGGACGGGCCCTCCGGGTTCAGAAGCAAGACCCGTGCCCCTCGCTCTAACAACTGATGAGGACAATTACACCACTCTCCTTCCCGGCATTAGGAAAACTCATTTTGTGAAATGAAGAAAGAGGCTAGGGCACATCTATAAAGTCGTTTCATGAGACTGATTAGCTTATAAACGAAAGTAATAGCTCAAGCCTGGAAAAGCTCCCCCGCAACGTATCACTTCAGCAGGGAGACTCCTTGGGTTAAACCGCTACAGCCAACTCCTGTTCTGAGAGAAACAGTGCTTAGGTTTAGCACCCTTTTTACCTTAACACTGGATCTGCTGGTCTGGGTCTCTGTCTCCATGCTCTGGCTGTTCTCCCTCTTGTCTTTCTTAGAGGAATTAGTCCTCACCTCATAAGTGGATGTGTTGTAGCATTTAATGAATAATCCTGGGACGGGGTTGCCTTGCTGCTGTTGAGACATGGTTGTGTTGGTCTGGTGAGGGGAATTGCACTCCTCAGACTCATTGCTACTGTGACAGACCACTCTGCTCTCAGAGATGTTGGTGCTTGGAACACAGCCCATGCTTTGTGGCCACCCGGGGAATACTTCTAAATTGTGTATATATAAGAGAGAGAGATAGATATATTTCCTTCCTGTTGGTATTTTCCCCCTGCTTAATTTTTTTGTTAACAGGTTGAATCTCTTTCCTGCGTCTCCGCTACACTCTGAAGCATTGCCACCGGTCCCTTCTACACCACCAGAAACGTGTCTGTTCTCCTCGTCCTCCAGGAAACGGGTCCTTTTATCTCAATCTCAGCAGTGGGCTGGGGAGCTGGAGGGGAGGGAAGGGGGGAAATCAAGAACCGGTCGACTTCATATTTTCACAGATTATTATTAATTTTTCTAAGCCATCTGAGAATCTTGGTAGGGTTTTCTTTCCTTCTGGGGAAAAGCAAAAAAGAAAAAAA